GAATTTCTCAATTTTGAATTTTACTCGGAACACTTTTGATTGTTTTATTTTAAGAAAATTAACATAAACAGTTGATTTTTAGCAAAATATCTAAAAAATTATATCTATGATTTGTTTTTCATTCGAATCTTATGATGTTATAATATATGTATTAGAGCTAACTAAATGGTTCAAAATACAAAAAAATTATTATTCGGATTTACTTGAAAAATGCTTTTTCCATATATTCAGCATACTGGATATATCTGAAACGAGGTTTCTATTTCCACCCCTACTGGAAAAGACATTTGAACTAAAGATTTCCGTTTGATGTTGGACTCATTGGTAGAATTTCCGTACTTTATTTCTACTTTTGTTAAGAAGTATAACATTCTTTTCAATTTCCTCACACTCACGTCTTTTCATATCTTTCTTTTTGCGCCAGAATAGGAACTTTTCCGCAATTTTTATACCATTGGTTTCTTGGGGGAGAGATGTAGCAGAATCCTTCAGGCAATATGTTCTCATTGTGTGTCAATATCATCGGGACAAGGAGTGATTTAAAGCGATTGTATTAATTTTGAGAAATACGCCGTTGCTATATTCGGCACCTGCAGATTAGCGACATTTAACATTTTCCGTGTCTCAGATTCGCGACTTACGTTTGTCACTTTGCTTAATCGGTATTGGCACCTCTGATTCAAAGTACATCTAGTATACTGGATGAGTGCCTTCTATAGGAAAGCTTATCAGGCAACACTATGAGGAGGTCTGTGTCCACTTGAGATGGGCAATAAATCAAGATAGGTACTGGGCCAAGCCAAGTTTGGAGCAATCAAACTGTTGCTTCATATCCAACATTCTCTACGAAAAATAGTTGAGTCAATTTTGGTATAGGTACATACCAGTGACGAGAAATTACAAACTGAAAACTTAAAATTTTAAGTTTTTATCATAATAATATAAAACATTTGCGTTCAAAATTAAATATTTTTTTTGTTTCAATTCAAAAACAAATTAAAAATTTACTTAAAATTTCTTTTCAACAAAGTTTTAAAAAAATTTTGGAAAAAAAACTTTTTTTTATGTACAAAAAACGTTTTTATAGATAGACAAATTTACTTTTATAAGCATACATTTTAGACATTAGTTTAAAATTTTTACAGTTATACTAAGATATCTTTGAATATTTGGGACGCGTGGGTTTGTGATCGATCAAAATTTATACTTTTACTGTCAGATGATAGAAATGCAGGAAGATTTTCGCGCATATTTCTTAAAACTTTGAATTTGATATGTTCCTTGCAATGCTTAATCGCATAATAATCCAGAATATATGTATACATTCTTTAGGACTCAGATAAACGTTTCTAGGTTCTATCACCACTGATGGTGGAGTGTATAAATATTTATAAATGTTTTTTTTTTTTTTTTTTTGCGTAATAATCTTAAGAAAGTAGGGAATTTTTGATAGCCATTTGGATAAAATTAAAGAAATCATTTTTAGAAAAATTGTAGTGAGATCTGGATTACCAAGCACTATCGACTCTTTCAAAAATTTGTTACTTAACTATTACCACTTTCTGTCCATGGGACACTCTGATATACATAAGCTAAATGTTGAATAAATTTTATTGTGATTTTAGTGATAAATTTTTAGTATTATGAACGACGACCTAATTTTCTGAAGGGCAATTTACATGGGGCTATGGTCAAACTAAGGCCAATTATTATGAAAATCAACAGTATCATTTAGGCTTACATACATATACCAGTAAATTTAATATAATTATGAGCTCCAAAGCACTATTCGGATAAGCGTACTTTCATGAGACTATAAACTAGACTATGGACTAGACTATAGACTAGACTATACACTAGAATATATATCATAGACTAGAAAACATTTTTTAACTTAATAATAACACAAAGTCCTTCTTTCAAATAAACAATTTTTATTAATAAATAACAATCACAACTTAAGCTTCGGGGGCAACGGGCAAATGAGCACCTTGGGGTTGGAAACCGTTTTCATCGGCAACATAGTTGACGGTGTAGGTTTGACCATCATCAGCAACGAAGGAGTAAGAGCCCTTGACGGCAATAGCTTCTTGTTCAGTACCAACATTCTTCAATTGACCTTGAGCTTCAGCTTCAACGCCATCGCTGGTAGCATAACTGTAAATGGATAAAAATGAAAAAATTAGTTAAGCTTCTTTTTGTAATTGTAAGATAAATTAGGTAATAGTTTCAAAATATTAAAATACTAACGCATATTGGAAGGATTCGGGTCCAACCTCAGATTCGGATTTTAAGACAACGGTTTCTTCGGCCAAAGCAATGGCGAAAAGAGCAACGAAAACAAAGATGAATTTCATTTTGATTGGATTTTTGTTCTTAGCGATAGACGTTAGATCAATGATAAAAGTCTGATACTGTGTGGTTGTTTAAATACTAAAATAAAATTTTTATATTTTGCATAATTTTATTTCACATAAACATATTTATTTAGGCATATTTTTTATATTGAAGTGGTGTATTGTTGTAATAAGTATTTTATTTTAATTTTATTTTAATATTTAAAAATACGTCACTAGTTTTTCGTATTTTTTGTAAACTTGTTTCGGCAAATGTAATTTTATTTAATATGTACTAGAATGCGTGTTATAGGAAAGTAAGTCTGAACAATGGTTTTATTGTGTTCTAGAATTACTATTGTGAATAAACACTGTTTGCTCTATACTTTCCATAATTAGATTTGACAATTTCTCAATTTTTATTATTTCTCGGAACACTTGTGAACATTTCATTTCAAGAAAATTAACATAAACAGTTGATTTTAGCAAATATCTAAAAAAGGTTATTTATGATTTGTTTGCAATTTGAATCCTACCATGTTATAAAATTTTAGAACTAACTAAATGGTTCCAAACACATTAAAATCATTATTCGGACTTACTGTCCTATAATATGCATAAATCTTAAATAAAAATAAATTTTTCGAAACAAGTTTAGAAAAAGAAAAAAACTAGTGACGTAAAAGTATTAATTTCTTTTAAATATTAATAAAAAAAACCTATGTATTACAACAAAAAAATTATTCCATAATAACAAATATGCCTAAATATATGTTTTTGTGAAATGAAATTATGCAAAATATAACAATTTTGTTTTAGTATTTAAACAACCACATAGTATCAGACTTTTATCATTGATCTAACGTCTATCGCTAAGAACAAAAACCCAATCAAAATGAAATTCATCTTTGTTTTCGTTGCTCTTTTCGCCATTGCTTTGGCCGAAGAAACAGTTGTCTTGAAATCCGAATCTGAAGTTGGACCCGAATCCTTCCAATATGCGTAAGTATTTCAATATTTTGAAATTATTACTTAATTTATCTCACAATTACTTAAAGAAGCATAACTAATTTTTTGATTTTTTTTCCACTTACAGTTATGCTACTAGTGATGGTGTTGAAGCTGAAGCTCAAGGTCAATTGAAGAATGTTGGTACTGAACAAGAAGCTATTGCCGTCAAGGGCTCTTACTCCTTCGTTGCTGATGATGGTCAAACCTACACCGTCAACTATGTTGCTGATGAAAACGGTTTCCAACCCCAAGGTGCTCATTTGCCCGTTGCCCCCGAAGCTTAAGTTGTGATTGTTATTTATTAATAAATATTTGTTTATTTGAAAGAAAACATTTAGGACTTTGTGTTATTATTAATTGTTAATTAATTATTTTTCTAGTCTAGTCTATAGTCTAGTCTATAGTCTAGTCTATAGTCTAGTCTATAGTCTAGTCTATAGTCTAGTCTATAGTCTAGTCTATAGTCTAGTCTATAGTCTAGTCTATAGTCTAGTCTATAGTCTAGTCTATAGTCTAGTCTATAGTCTAGTCTATAGTCTAGTCTATAGTCTAGTCTATAGTCTAGTCTATAGTCTAGTCTAGTCTATAGTCTAGTCTATAGTCTAGTCTATAGTCTAGTCTATAGTCTAGTCTATAGTCTAGTCTATAGTCTAGTCTATAGTCTAGTCTATAGTCTAGTCTATAGTCTAGTCTATAGTCTAGTCTATAGTCTAGTCTATAGTCTAGTCTATAGTCTAGTCTATAGTCTAGTCTATAGTCTAGTCTATAGTCTAGTCTATAGTCTAGTCTATAGTCTAGTCTATAGTCTAGTCTATAGTCTAGTCTATAGTCTAGTCTATAGTCTAGTCTATAGTCTAGTCTAGTCTATAGTCTAGTCTATAGTCTAGTCTATAGTCTAGTCTGTAGTCTAATCTATAGTCTAGTCTATAGTCTAGTCTATAGTCTAGTCTATAGTCTAGTCTATAGTCTAGTCTATAGTCTAGTCTATAGTCTAGTCTATAGTCTAGTCTAGTCTATAGTCTAGTGTAGTCTAGTCTATAGTCTAGTCTAGTCTAGTCTAGTCTAGTCTAGTCTAGTCTAGTCTAATCTAGTCTAGTCTATAGTCTAGTCTAGTCTATAGTCTATAGTCTAGTCTAGTCTAGTCTATAGTCTAGTCTATAGTCTAGTCTATAGTCTAGTCTATAGTCTAGTCTATAGTCTAGTCTATAGTCTAGTCTATAGTCTAGTCTATAGTCTAGTCTATAGTCTAGTCTATAGTCTAGTCTATAGTCTAGTCTATAGTCTAGTCTATAGTCTAGTCTATAGTCTAGTCTAGTCTAGTCTATAGTCTAGTCTATAGTCTAGTCTATAGTCTAGTCTATAGTCTAGTCTATAGTCTAGTCTAGTCTATAGTCTATAGTCTAGTCTATAGTCTAGTCTATAGTCTAGTCTATAGTCTAGTCTATAGTCTAGTCTATAGTCCAGTCTATAGTCTAGTCTATAGTCTAGTCTATAGTCTAGTCTATAGTCTAGTCTATAGTAGAGGTATGAACATTATATTCGGTTATGCCGAACCTTTTGTACCCACCATCACAGAAAGTTTCGGAAATTTATAGTTGATCGCCTCAGCATTTATTGTTTTTATCACTTTAAACTAACAAAAAGAAAACTATATTTGAACTAAACTTTTTATTAACTTTTATTCATTTCATCATTTTACAAGCACTCTATTGAGCATCAGGTCCCACAGGCAAATGAGCACCATGAGGTTGGAAACCATTCTCATCGGCAACATAATCAACGGTATAGGTTTTACCATCATCAGCTACAAAAGAGAACGAACCGTGAACTGCAATACCTTCATGTTCAGTACCTACATCCTTCAATTGACCCTCAGCAGTGTGCACACTACCATCAGATGTTTCGACAGCAAATTTGAAGCCTTCTGGTTCGACACTGCTTTCCGAGCGTACAATCTGTTCCTCAGATGGACGACCCAAAGCAACAGCAAAGAGTGCAGCAAATACAATGATGAATTTCATATTGGTTGATATTCCTTAGAAAGTTTTTAACTCAATGGATGCTTTCTTTGAAATATTCTAGTCTTTTTATAGAGAAATTTTGTGGTAATAAAATTAAGAAGCAAAAATTTGTTCTAAAGGTGTATTGAAGAACCAGCTCAATTAAATCAAATTTAATTTTAAATGACTATTACAAACGAACACACCTTAAAACGGTTATTTTAGAAACTAGAATATTTTTAGAATAAAATGCACCACAAATTGTTAATATTTTTTTTGTTATAAACCCATACAAAAACCATTTCAAAACCAATTAAAAAATACTAATTAGATTATTACTTATTATTTGCCTTTATTAGGGAATGGAATAATACTTTCGATTTAGTCATTTTGAGGTTTTCAGTTTTAACAGCTCTTGTTTAGAAACTCTTTATAAACTTAATGACCAGTTGGTACATTGGGCAAATGGGCACCTTCGGGTTGGAAACCATTTTCATCGGCTATATAGTTGACGGTGTAGGTTTGACCATCATCAGCTACAAAGGAGTAAGAGCCACGTACAACAATGGCTTCATCTTCAGAACCAACATTCTTCAATTGACCTTCCTCTTGATGAGTCTTGCCATCACTAGTCTCCAAACTGTGAATATGCGTTTTTATGATTTGTAATGAATATTGAAATGTATAAAAAGTTATAGAAAATACTTACGCAAAGTTGTAACCTTCTGGTCTGACATCAGATTCCAAGCGTAAAACTTCAGCATGAGCGTAATCCTGAGCTGGAGCGGCCAAGGCAACAGCAAATAAAGCAGCAAAAATGATGGCGATTTTCATGTTGTTGTTTTTGTGTTTAATTATTAATCCGTTTGAAAGAGAAATTAAGTTTTGTTGTATGCCAACAGAATCGTTTGAGATTTATGATGTTTAATTTCGTTTTTCTAGCCATTTAAATACCAAATCATCAGTCCATTATTACGTTGTTAGAAACTTTAATAATAAAACATCACTTTTTTTGGCTTTTTTTCTATTTTTTGTTAGTTTTATTCATTATAAGCGTAATAATTGCAATTTGTCAAAATTATTATTTTTAATCTGACATCTTCTCGTCTTTCTATTGCTAGTTATTGTCTATTTTCTTTTCGTCAAACTTGTGTTAAAAACGGGTAAATTTTAAGAAATTCAATAATAAATCAACACAAATCAACAACAAAAATTTAACAAAGATAAAAGTCAAAAATTTTTCCATATTGCAATCAACCCTCTTCCAATTAAAGCTTTTGTTTTAATTTAGCTTTTTTAAGTTTTTAATTAATTGTTAAATGCTATTCTAATAGTGCATTATGCCACTGCATAGATGATTACATTAGGGTGACTACTATGGTAGTTGAACAGTTTTTGGAAATAATAATTGTTTTGTTCCGAAACTAAACCAATTTGGCTCTAACATTAGATCGTATTGCGATCACTTTGTAAAGCTTAACTTGATGGGACAATCGTCAGAAATAAAGCTAACTTAAATTAGATATCTTTATTATACAAATCATCAAATTCATTTCCGAATAGCATCTATTAAAGGCGTTATTCAGAAAAATACATTATTAAAAAGTTTATGTATTGCATCCAGTGATCGTTTATCTATGCTTTTAAGTTCCGTGTCTCTCGGAGATACTAAACATTATATACGCTTGGATTTGTTTCATTCGATTAAGCAGCAGCCTAATAATATTTTAAATTTACTCATTAGTTTATTAATTAACCAAAATATTTGCTATTTTTTGTTTATTTTAAACAATTAGCTCTTATAATAAGTTTTTTGTTGTCTTTTAACTAGCAAATACAATAATAAACGTTCACACCTAAGATGCGTTCACATCGTTGAAATATTTTATCAACTAAATATGAACACAGATATGTATATATCTAATTAATAAAAGTTCATCTACAGTTATCTTTAATGCAATCTTAATTTTCAGGGTAAAAAATATTGATCTATTAAATTATTCGAGACATTAAACTAATACTTTTGCTTGTCACAATAGAAATTTATTAAAGCCAACTAAAATATTATTAAGGTAAGCAAATGATTTGTATTTCAATAGATATTTAGTAATTATTAATGTAGATTTCTATCAATTTCATTATGCCAAATTGTTTTTTGCTTATTTTAACAATTATTTCAACAATGTGACTGAATCTGATATTTGAACGCTGAAATTATATACGAGTAATACACTATTTTTAAGTTGCATTTTGTTGTGTTAAATATTTGAATATTCATATACGTTGTGAGAACATTAATCAAATTAAAACAAAGATTAGAACTTGTTTTTGTAGTTATAAATCTATAGAATTATCTATTGAGTTGAAATCATTGTTTGTCTAGTTTCTGTTTAGTATCATTTGGATACGAAAGTCTATTAAAACAATAAAATAAGTGTATAAGAACAAATCACTCATGTCTAATAATTTTTGAAGGACTATAATAGAGACATTTGAGGAAAAATATATCAATGCTATAAAACAATTAAAGAAATTTAAGAATTTTTGAACTTCTATTTAAAGGCAAAGTTAATTATTGTTTAAAGAATATAAGAAAATGTACAAAATTTTAATGTGAAATTCAACAGCAATGAATTTAAGCAATTTAATTATTTGAACAACACTTTCTACTCGAAAGAACAAAACGATTCCATGACAAGTGAAGAAAATATGTCATAAGTTAAAAAAAAAACATACCAATAGTTCAGAGTGTTAAAACTAGCTCCGATCTCTACTACGATCAATTAATTCAAACCGTCGTTAGTGAAAAATGAAAAGGGAATAGAAAACAGTTTTCATTCAATTCTGTTCGTCTATCTATCTATCTATCTATCTATCTATCTATCTATCTATCTATCTATCTATCTATCTATCTATCTATCTATCTACTATCTATCTATCTATCTATCTATCTATCTATCTATCTATCTATCTATCTATCTATCTATCTATCTATCTATCTATCTATCTATCTATCTATCTATCTATCTATCTATCTATCTCTATCTATCTATCTATCTATCTATCTATCTATCTATCTATCTATCTATCTATCTATCTATCTATCTATCTATCTATCTCTATCTATCTATCTATCTTCTATCTATCTATCTATCTATCTATCTATCTATCTATCTATCTATCTATCTATCTATCTATCTATCTCTCTATCTATCTATCTATCTATCTATCTATCTATCTATCTATCTATCTATCTATCTATCTATCTATCTATCTATCTATCTATCTATCTATCTATCTATCTATCTATCTATCTATCTATCTATCTATCTATCTATCTATCTATCTATCTATCTATCTATCTATCTATCTATCTATCTATCTATCTATCTATCTATCTATCTATTTATCTACCTATCTGTCTGTCTGTTTGTTTGTCTGTCTGTCTGCGCATGTAAACATTATAATCATGAGCTAATTGTTAAAAATATATAAATAGAAACTACTCAAAGTTCAAACAAACCTTATTATTTTTATTTAATAAATAACAAACATTTTAAGCAGCTGCTGCAACAGGCAAATGATCACCTTTTGGTTGGAAACCATTTTCATCGGCAATATATTCTACACTAATAGTTTGACCATCAGCGTTCACATACATATAAGCCCCTTCTACAGCCAGTGATTCATTTTCCAATCCAATATTTTTCAACAGACCTCTAGCTTCGGCCTTAACACCATCACTCGTCTCATAGCTGAAAAATCAAAGGATTTAACACTATATATAAGTTTTTACCATTTTCGTTACACTTACGCATATTTAAATGATTCGGGTCCTACATCAGATTCGGATTTTAAAACTATAGCGTCCTCAGGGCGTGGAGCAGCTAAAGTAACGGCAAAAAGTGTTACAAAAACTATAGTTAATTTCATGTTGTTTTCTGTTCTTTTATGTTAAAGGATCAAAACTGTATGATGCATTAACCAACAAGGCATGAGTTTTTATAGGATTGCACTAGTGTGGCCCTTTACAACAATTGGAAGAGACCATATTTCAAGTACAAGTATGTAAACTGGTTTCCCTTTACAAGTACGAGTACTTCGATTGCTTGCAATATATAATTTTTTTTAAATACTCCTTAAAATTTTCAAAAATGTTTTCGAACCCATGTAAAAAGAAGAAAAAAAATTTTTGTCAGCTGAACCAGTTTCCCATTTAATTGTTCACTTTTTACTTTACACTTGTTAAATTCGAAGAACACTTATGTACATATATTCGTTAAATAAATGAAACTATTATTAAATTTCTTTGTCCTAAACAGAATATACATATATAAAATAAAATCAAAAAATGTATTTGCCTAAAAAGAATCTAATACAAAAATCTTCATAAGAAATTCACGTGACGTAAATGCTATGTTGTATATTTTAATATAATTAAATTGTACAGTTTTTATAAAAACTAAACTAGTTTAGGCTTAAATTATAAAATATGTATTATGTACGTCAAAAATATTCACCAAATATGAATAAAAATTATGCTAAAATTATAAGTTTTATTTTTAACAGAAATCGTATTTAAACCATCATACAGCTTTAAGCTGTTATCATTGATCAAACGTCGATCGTTAAGAACAAATAAACAAATCAAAATGAAATTCATCATTGTATTCGCTGCCCTCTTCGCCGTTGCTTTGGCCGCTCCCCGTCCTGAAGATGCTGTCGTCTTGAGATCAGAATCTGAAGTAGGACCCGAATCATACCAATATGCGTAAGTGTTCTTAGAAAAACTCATTTCAAAAAGGATATAGTAAAGAAAATTATTAAATAAATAATTTTGAATTACAGTTACGAAACTAGCGATGGCAACAAAGCTGAAGAACAAGGTCAATTGAAGAACGTTGGTACCGAAGAAGAAGCTATCGTCGTCAAGGGCTCTTACTCCTTCGTTGCTGATGATGGTCAAACCTACACCGTCAACTATGTTGCTGATGAAAACGGTTTCCAACCCCAAGGTGCTCATTTGCCCGTTGCCCCTGAAGCTTAAGTTGTGATTGTTATTTATTAATAAATCGTTGTTTATTTAAAAGAAAAATATTCTAGTTTTTATGAAAAGAAATGCACTAAAGTAGAAAAAGTGTTCTTAGATTCTCTTAGAGTTCAGGTTTTTATGAATAATTCTAATGAAAAGAAATGCACTAAAGTAGAAAAAGTATTCATAAATTCTCTTAGAGTTCTGCAACAAAAAAGTACCAAAATATTCTTATAAATATTTATTTTATAAGTTTAAGTTCATACTATAGAACAATGGAAAGGTATTTCATGGTCCAGAAAGTACCTTTTGAAGAACGAAAAAGTTCCAAAGAGATTCTCACTGTTAAATTTTATGTTTTTAAAATTGATATTGTAGAAAACTCTAAAAGTACTAACGAAAAAGTACCAAAAATGTATCTCTTATATATGCCCTGAAGACCCAGCATGTAAAATTTCATATTTCTAAGATTAATGTTATAGAAATTTCAAAAAGTGAAGATTAAAAAAGTACTAAAGAGTTTATTATTAAAAAGGTGAAATTTTTCCTTTTTAACATTTTTAACTGCTCAAGATAAATTATGCTTTAAAAAAGTACTTAACAATTCGCCCTAATTTGGTCCCAAATAATACATCAATAGCTAATTTTCTTTGACTTAATCAGCGGATTCGCGGATTTTGCTCATATCTCCGTTATTTGTCGATCCGGATTTTAAATAGGAAACTTTTCGGAAGCATGTTTGAGAGAATTTTTGAAGATTTGAATCCCGCAGATATCTGGGTTCTTCAGAAAATTGATTTCAACAGACAGACGGCATGTCTTAATCGACTCTGCTATCAATAAAGATCCAGAATATATATATATATATGACAAACTTACAAACTTCATGAAGGTGATGGGTCGTATTCATAAACATTTATCAAAGGATGTATAATCGGGTTTGGACGTTACCAGTTAAGTTGAATTTGACCATATTTCCGATGTATTTAAGCAATTTATGGCTTAAGAAGTAATTTTGTAAAAGTGTTTTTATATGGGAGTTGGGGTCAAATATGGGCTGATTCTCATAAAATTTGAAGTAAGATTTTATTTCAATATAAAGGTTAGCTGAATTTCATCGCGATACTATATGGCCATAAGTCAATTATAGCATTTTCTATAAAACATAGTTGTGCCGGTTTCTGAAGAGATACTAGTGTATATGTTTTAGTTGATAGCTAAAAAGCTCGAATCAGAGGGTCCGGTTGTATGGGGACTAAGTGAAATAATGGACCAATTTAAATAGGCTTAGTCCGGAAGAAAATCACATATGGTCCAAATTTCATCAATAGATCTTGAAAATTGTGGTCTGTGGACAGATATATCTTAATCAACTCAATATTTTTGTGCGTTACAAATATCAGAGCAAAAGCATTATACATATATAGGTACCCCACTATGGTGGTGTTGGGTATTAAAACGACTATTGAACTCCGAAATTATGATTTCTCATGCTTACAAAAATAGTTAGTTAGTTAATTACTTTGAAAGTAGAATGTACATCAAATCCGAAGAAATAAACCTAGGCCTCTGTGCGCTCCTTAACCAGTGCCTTAGGTCGGAATCGAACCCACCACCTCCGGTCTACCAGACTAGAACACTAACCACTAAACTACCGGAGGCCACAAAAATAAATAGATAAAAGAATTGGTAAATTAATGGTCATTTTAAAATGGAGCGAGACATATAAAAAACTTGTATTCCTGAATTGGGACAAATGAAATAAAACAGTACTTAACCATGAATTTCACTAAATCGGTTTTAGATACATACATATTACTTCAGATTTGACTGTAATATTCCAATTAATGATATTAATTTGTAATTTATACACATCAACTAAATGTATTTATGATGCAAATTACGTCATAATAGCAAGATACATTTTACTTCCGAAAATATTTTAATTTAAAGCAAATGAACATTTTGTTACATTCTTTACATAATCTAGTAACAACTGTAAACAAGTTCATAAATACATACATATGTACATCAAATAGAATCAATTAATAAAATGCTAAATCAACTTTACTAACAAATTTCGTACGACTAAACTTGGAAATATGAATATAAACATTAAATATGTATATGATCTAGATTTTGTATAAAAATTAGGGCGATAGATTTGAATGACCTACTTAATTGCGGAATAAATGTTATATATAACTTTATATGATTATAACCAATGAATTTTATAAAAAGGACTATACGTTAATAGAACTTACTTTACCAGCACACCCACCTACAAGTATTTAAATTTCATTTCCGATAATACTGGTTAAAAAGCCTCTAAATTTAAATTTCAAATTTATAGATATTATAAAGCACTTACAACCATAAATAAACGTGTTTAAGCATGAATTAAATAAGTTTTATTGAAAAAAAATAATTCATTCATACACCAACAAAATTTCTTTATCTTAAAATTATTCAAAAATTATTAGTTGTATTTTGGTGTATAAAAACTAACAGCGACAGACTGTAATCCACCAAACTGCTTCAAGCTTTTGCCTTTGATTAGTCGTCGATCGCTAAGAACAAAAAACAAATCAAAATGAAATTCATCATTGTATTCGCTGCTCTCTTCGCCGTTGCTTTGGCCGCTCCCCGCCCAGAAGATGCTGTCGTCTTGAGATCCGAATCTGAAGTAGGACCCGAATCATACCAATATGCGTAAGTGTATTTATAAAAACAGTTTAATTGGAATTACATATTAATTAAATATAAATAATTTTGAATTACAGTTACGAAACTAGCGATGGCAACAAAGCTGAAGAACAAGGTCAATTGAAGAACGTTGGTACCGAAGAAGAAGCTATCGTCGTCAAGGGCTCTTACTCCTTCGTTGCTGATGATGGTCAAACCTACACCGTCAACTATGTTGCCGATGAAAACGGTTTCCAACCCCAAGGTGCTCATTTGCCCGTTGCTCCTGAAGCTTAAGTTGTAGTTTACAGTAATTAGTAATAAAGTTAAAAAAAAAATATTTTATGCATTTATTTAAATTTCAAAGTAATAGTATGAAGAAATGAGGGTGGATTAAATCAAATTTTCGAAAGTTTTGTATTAGATCTCTTTTAGTAAATAGTTCTTCTTCGAATGTCTATTAACAAGACATTTGTCTAACAATTTTACTATTTTTTTACAATTTTTACATTTACTACAGACTGGCATATTCAAAAAAGTCTTTTCATGAAAAAAAAATGCCTGGAAAAGGCCGGATCTCCAGGACACTTTTTTCAATTAATCTAAAATACAACATACACCAGAGTTAGGAGCAATTACATCCGGTAATTTTCCAATACATTTAAGTTTTAAAAGTGTCATAAAGTCTATGGACAAGGTGTCAAAGTGCTTTACATGAACACCTGCCAAGACGGCCTTATTCCACGGTGGTCTTTTTTATCCCCATGGTGAGATTACTTGACAACTCACCCCCCACGCAGTTGGCAATTTTTGTACAGGGTTCTGCCGGTCCATGTAATATGCCCCCGGTGGGGAAGTCTATGAACATTAGGACACTTTTGAGAGTTATAACGTCCATGGACACTATGACTCTTTTTGGTGTGAAATAACGTCCATGAACATTATGACAAGCAACCAAAATATCGATCTTACACCGAATATAATAGACATACATATACATATTTGAAATACGATAAATCTATGTATATGAAAGATTTTTTTGTAGTCCTCAGTTAAAAAACCCGAATATTTGGTTTTACATAAAATTGTTAAAATTAGTTCATCAGCCACCAAAACTTAAACTGCTGAATAAGTTTTATATGGACCTAGATCATATTTTTGGTATGTTACTCAATGATCAAGAACATGGATATAAATGCTTCGATTCAACATTCGGTACATAATTGATCCCCCTGATAGTATTCCTGGTGTAAAATACTAAATTTTGGATATTCCCTATTATTATAAGGTTTTAAGATCATCGTATTTAAAATACATACTTCTATTAATTCCAATTCGATTAAAAACATAATTTTAGACTTAGGTTTATATATTATTTTTTTTTTTTATTTTATTACTACGGAACTACTTATATTATAATAACGATTAAACTTAGGCTTCAGGGGCAACGGGCAAATGAGCACCTTGGGGTTGGAAACCGTTTTCATCGGCGACATAGTTGACGGTGTAGGTTTGACCATCATCAGCAACGAAGGAGTAAGAGCCCTTGACGACGATAGCTTCTTCTTCGGTACCAACGTTCTTCAATTGACCTTGTTCTTCAGCTTTGTTGCCATCGCTAGTTTCGTAACTGTAATTCAAAATAATTTATTTAATTAATATGTAATTCCAATTAAACTGTTTTTTATAAAAAACACTTACGCATATTGGTATGATTCGGGTCCTACTTCAGATTCGGATCTCAAGACGACAGCATCTTCAGGACGGGGAGTGGCCAAAGCAACGGCGAAGAGAGCAGCGAAAACAATGATGAATTTCATTTTTATTTGTTTTTTGTTCTTAGCAATCGAAGACTGATCGAAGACAAAGGCTTGAAACTGTGTGGTTGATGATGAGCACTCGCTGTTAGTTTTTATACAAATTTTAATTTGTGCATAATTTTATTTAATCTACGTAAGAATCTATCTGCAGAAAATTTGTTTTTGTAGATTATTTGTATTTTTATTCATTTATATTTTATAATTAAAATTTTATTTATTTATAAATGTTGGAACGAACTAGTTTGTGTGGATATAAATGCAAAGAAATGTATTTAAATAACTTTATTTAAATTTATAGTAAAAAAGATGTGCGTCATAAAGAAAGGTGAACGATTTTAATGATGAAATGAAGAAATAAACAAATAAATAACTTAAGAACTACTGTTCCGAATATGGCAAATAAAAGTCTTTCTTGCTTCATAATGGTAATTTAAAAATTAATTAACTAAAAAAGACTGTTTTACATAAGTTTTTGCCCTCTGCGACATATATTTTTCTCATTTAATTGGATTCATAACTTATACGGTAATAACCATTTATTCAGTAGGTCCACTTAAC